CAGCACATTTTCATGTGGCTGTGACAAGGGATGCAAGGTGCACAATAGGCCAGGGTCTGAACTTTTGGAATATATAGATGGAATGATTTTATAGTAATTGACACCAACACATTAGAGAACAGAAAGTTGCTGGCTAACTATGAGTCACGTGTAGACATTGTTTCCATTAACTCTGTTTCTTTTGGTGGTATAGCTTGTTATTTTAAAAACTCAGCATGTGTGGCTGTATGTATGTTCCTTAATTTCTGATCACCTTTAAGCTTCGTATATCCATGTTTATTATTATCTGAAGTTCTACTAAATAAAAATTGTTAAAAGGGGAATCAGGAGTAAACCATGAAATAATAATTATAGCCACCATTCATTAGAATTTTACTAGTCCTCTCTTTAATCCCTATAGCAAGTTAGCTCTTCTATACCCTGAATCATTATACAGTGTGAAGGAGCATTCTGGATGTCAGTGGTCCAGCCCAGGGTTTCATGATGGGGTAGGTAGAGCCACAGCCCAAATAGGCCGACTTGCCTTTGACAAGCATATCAGCAGATGGCCTTTGTTTGCAAAAGAATTTACAATAGATTTTGATTCCAGTAAGATTTCTGTAGAGTTGGGAAACTGGAATTCCTTTTTGTCTTTAATATCCATTCTCATCAACATAAACAAATAGGTCTCTATCAAGAGCCTACCAGTGACCTGGTCAGTCCTGCCAATGAACCATTGGACCTGGTACACCCCCAGGCTGATGCTGTGGCCATTGGAATGGAAAGAATAGAGACTAAAAGGCTGCATTTGGATATTCAGCACCTGGTGGTTTTATGTGGTTAAAATCTCCTCAATAATGTTGTCAGTGCTTTGATTTTTCCCACTTTCACTTATATTGTGGATCTTCTGTTAGTATTCACTTCTGTTTGGTTACCCTTATGTAAGTAACGGTGTGAAATCAAAGTTCTTGTATCATGAAATATAATTTATATGATGACATGATATATTTAGCAGAATAGTGTAATCTGTCACTCGATATGTTTTACAAACATGAGATTAAATAGCCTTGTGCATATATTTATAAAAAGCTGACGTATACTCATCTTTGTTTTTATTTTGAATTAGCAGCACGCCTCCTATTCCTTTGTAGTTCTAATAATAAAATAATGAATAAAGGACCCGTCTGATTCCTTGTAGGTAATCACTCAGTGCCTGATGTATGACTTGTTTAGTTCACTCAGGAGTGACAGATACTGGTTGGTGGTGAATTGCATTTTAACCAGAGACAGAGCTTGAATAATGCAAGAGGAACAATGTGCATCTTATTATCCTGCCTGATGAAACACAAACGTCTCCTACCTCCAGATTTATATCTATAACTGCAAGAGATACTTGGCTGCCTGTTGAACAATTATTCCTGCTTTTTTGCTGTGTTTGGAAAAGCAACAGCATGTGGGCTGAGTTTCAAAAGATTTTGCTTTCCAGGAGGACATGGAGCTGCCTGACTTTGTGGCAGGTCACTCAGTCAGCGAGCCGCCAGCATCCGGAAGGACCACTGCAGGGTAGCAGGGTATGTGTCCACATGCAGTTCAGCCTGTGATGTGCAGTGAACTAAAGCATAGCATACACTGCACACCAAACACACCCTCCCCTTGTTTTCTCTGTAGGAGATTGTGTTGGAGCAGTTTACTGTATTACTGTCATGGTCACTTTGTCACCTTGTTGTAAAATTGGTTCGGGGTGGTTTGGAGAGAGATGAGGGATTCTCTGTGGAAAGAGGAAGCCGTGGGCCAGTCTGCTTCACATGACTGGATCCTTCTAACATGAGAATCCTGACTGAAATGGTGATAGTGGAGTGGACATGGAACACGACATGGACGCCCCGACAGTCACTCCTGGGCTCCCTGAGGCTACGGCGGGCGCCATGTGGAAAGCCATCTCTGGGCTTGAGGAGATCACTTCCTATTGAGATTCTTATTTATAAGCCCTTGCTTGGATTGTTGGCATCTTCTTCCTGCCTTTTCTTTTTTCTGTGTTGTTCCCATGTTTTTACTAGCTGTGGAGTCATGTTTCCTCTGGACATTTATTGTCCTACCTAATTGGTTGCGAAACCTTCCTCTTCTTAATCCTGAGTCAGCCTGCTCTGCACTTAGGTTTCTAAAGCATCGTTCAGCATTCCAAATCCTCTTCTTGAATATTGTTAACACGTGAATTGTTCTTGTGCAGCCCATTATGTTTTTCAGTACAGGGTAAAGAGAAGTGTAGAGGGGGTGAGGTCAGATTCAGGACATCACCTGTGCCCTCCCCTCACCCCCCATTGCTATTTGTATGAACTTGGACAGATTATTAAACCTCTAGACATTAGTGTCTTCATCTATGAAATGGGAAGAATGCCCAACATTTACCTCTATGATTCCTGTGAGTTTAATTGAGCGTATGAATGGGGGCTCTGAGCTCAGAGCCTGGCAGGGCCGCAGCAGCACACCACAGTTATTGTTAAATCTTAGACCACAGTTATTGAAACCATGGAAGAAACCATGACCAATTCCTTCATCTTTGTAGCTTTTCACTTTCCTACATACCAGAGATATTTACTATGTAGTTTTCATGCTACTTGTCCCCAAGTTCATAGCAGAAGATGGTGGTTGGGAAAAGAGTGTATGATATAGCTCCTGGTCTCTGCCTTATGCCTCATCCACATGTGCTGGTTACTGTCATCCTGAGCTAGACCTATCTGGTTTTGGACCATCTTTCTTTGCTTTCTCTTTTTTAGGTAAGGTTTGTTGTTGTTATTGAAGATGATGATAGCTTTTTGTTTGTGTTTCCTGCAATGATCAAATTGTAGCCTGCTTATATGAGCGTGAGTGCAGGACCTTTTCTGAAATGACTTATCCTATTTCCTTTATGAGGCAAATATAGTTTGTACTTGTTCTGTATCTTGGCTTTGGGGATCTGCTTCAGAGGTACTTCTCTTTTGGAGATTCATAGTGAACACGGTTTCATAATTTCCCCCAACACAGAGCTTAAACACCTGTCAGAGGTATGCAGCCTCCTGTTTGTGAGCTTCTCTTCAGGATATAAAGGCATGTTGTAACAGTAAATATATATATATTTTAAATGTCCAGGTTTAAAGCAACAGTTATCTAATAGTATTTTTGGTGGTGTATAAGTTAAAATCATTTCTTATAGAATTCTCTTTATATTACTTGCTATTCTTAAATAACTTAAGAAAAACATAATGGACTGAAGAGAAAAGCACATTACATATACAATTTAGAATATTTGCTACATTTTTAGAATGTAAAATTGAATTAAACTTAAACACTTTGTGAGGACAGAGAATGTATGCTTTGATTGAAAACTAGCTACAGTCTTTCTGGAGATCATAGTGGAGTGCTCAGTGGCTCCATCACGCCAGCCTCTTAATCAGTGCCTACATTTTAGATCTGAGGTGAGCCTGTTGTGTGTCTTACTTTTAACATTAACATTAACATTAATGAGTCAGGTTGTAGCCAAACATATTTGTAGTTGTACTGCCAATAATGTATCTATTGGTGCACTCTAACAAAATACAAGGCCAATTGAATTGTCCCCCAAAACTAATTGTCTCTGAAATGTGTTCTTGTGGATAGTAGTTGTGTGTAACTTTCCATTAATTTTGAACACCAGAAATTATTGCTATACTAGAGGCCTGGTGCACGAAATTCATACATGGGTAGGGTCTCTAGGCCTGGCTGGCAATCAGGGGCCTTCAAGCTGCCTGTTGGGGTGTTCCTTCCCACCCTGCCAGCTGCTGATAGGGGCCTTCTTTTACTCTTTGCTGCTCCCTGGTGGTCAGTGCATAGCAAGTGATTAAACTCCTGTTCTCTGGGTCCAACCCCTAAGGGGATAATTTGAATATTAGGCTTTTATGTATATATAGATTATTCTAATTGCATCATAAAATCCAAACACTTGATGATTGAATGAAAAATTCTTAGCAAAAGGGAAAATAATAAGAATCAAACCTGTTTATTAGAGGTTTTTAAGATGATTATTAGGGCATTTCTGGGTCTGAAAGGGTATCATCTGCATTATTGATAGAATTAAACACAGAGCTATAAAGAAGCGTTTTCAATGTTGCATGAAAAATTAAGTGGGTACACTATATACTTCCTAAAGGTTTTGTCATACTTCTGTCATTTCAAAATCCCTATTTTTAAGCTAATTATGAGACCAAAAAGGTGCGGCCAGTGACTCTTTCTCAGTGCACTGCATTTCTCTAAATGGATGCGCCAGCAACTCAGAAAAAGAAAACAAGGGTTAATCCCCAAAGTTGTGTGGTTACCATAGTGCTGGGAATTGCTAAAGCTAATTCAGGACATAACCTTGCAGTCTTAGTTTTTGCTTCGGTTTTCAAAAGTGAAAAACATTTTTAGAATCTTTATTAAAAGCATACAAATTATGCCTGTGTATATTAGTAAAAATCAAGAATGTTGTTATCTTATTATACAAACATGACATTAGACATCTATATAAAATCTGGGGCAAAATTTGGTTTACAGTTGTTTGTATGGAAAATAATAAAATAATAATATAAGAATAAACTCTGTGTTTTGTGTATTCACAACTGTAAACCTTTTGCTTCACCCTGTATTCTGAATCACATTTCATCTTTTTAACCTTATTTCCTCTCTCTTTCTGAAGATTATATACTTTGGTATTATCTACAAATACAGGAATAGGTAGGTTATTTCTTTAAAGTATACTGCCCAGTTTTTACTGTATTACTATCATGATCACTTGACCCTGCATTAATTCAGGAAGCTCACCTGTGGAATTATTAACAGACATTTCTTATCATGCAGAATCTGTGTATAGAGTTCCTCCCAGTAGCACAGATGAGTAAGCCCCCTCCCCATTCATTTTATAAGATGTCTACACAAAACCAAGCCTCCTGGGAAGAACTAATGAGCAAGCAAGACCTAAAGAAATAGCGTTTCGATGTTGAGATTTTTCTTTTTCCCTATTTTTTTTCCAGAACCAAACTTCGTGTCATCTTATGCCATTGGGAATTTCACCTACTTCTTTTTCCGAGAAAACGCTGTGGAGCATGACTGTGGGAAGACCGTGTTCTCCAGAGCTGCCCGGGTCTGCAAGAACGACGTGGGGGGGCGGTTCCTGCTGGAGGACACCTGGACCACCTTCATGAAGGCCCGCCTCAACTGCTCCCGCCCCGGGGAGGTGCCCTTCTACTACAATGAGCTGCAGGGCACCTTCTTCCTGCCCGAGCTTGATTTGATCTACGGCATCTTCACCACCAATGTGTACGTAACTGGAAATGATTGCTTTCCCTGCTCTCCTACTCATTCTGAATAAGGCTATAGTTCTTTGACCTGTGTGGTTGAAACATGCAACATGCTTTAAAAAGAAATCATTTTTTACTGGGATAACAGCCAAACTTTTTTTTTTTTTTTTTTTATGGATTAAATGTTGTGCTAAGATCTGTGACTTCTGAGACAGGTATTAGGGAAATACAGCTAATCCAAAGGCTTTGCTCTATCCTTATTGGAATAGTAGCATCCTATTGTTCTGCTATAAATGTGTCCTTCCCGACTTGCCAGTGTGTTCTTAGTACTCTCTGAAGTGCTGGTATGTATTAGATGTGTGTGTATGTTTTTCTATCAGCTTGTTACATATTTGTCATAATGAAAGCACTGTTATCTGGCAAGTCTGATCGTTGAGATAATGTAACTCTTGACCAAACCGCTGCTCATATAGGAAATGCACATTCTTACTTTTCCCAGAGTTGATCTAAAACTACTGTTCTATAAGATGGCTGTCCTAGGCATTTCTAAAATGATGGTTATGCTTTTAAAATACTTTTGAAACAAATAGCATGTTTTTCTTTTGTGGGGAAGACACTCTTAGCTCCAGAACTGGCACTGTTTGAACTAGATGAAGTGTATGACGTTTCTGATCTTTCAATTCACTCTATTCTGGTGGACTGGAGCACAAACCCATTCTCAGCTGATATGTTGTGATAAGACTCAACAAGATCACACCCAAGCCCAGGAATCACAGATCACACTGCCACTGGCCTCCACCCTTCTCACTGTTGGCTGCGAGCAGGAGGATCCCACAGCTTGGGTTCTATTTGGATCACTTTTGAAATTTTAAACTGTTAACCTAACAGTTTGTACAATAGCCCAATATTTATATCCAACATAAACATTCTGAATCAGGATGTGTTGAAAGTGCTGATAAATGGGGTGATATGACCAGCCACCTAGGTTCCTGGAATTGTCCTGATTTTGGAATTGGAGAGAGCCTTGTATCCCAGAAATCTTGTCAGTTCTCAGTGATCTGGGATAGTCCACCCCCTGTGACATCTTTTGGGCCTCTAAAACTTCATACTTTTTTATCTGGTTTGCCCATGAATCTGCATCTTACTTTTCTGCTGATCTTTCTCTTCTGATCTTTTCACTGTTGAGCTGACGTGTTAGCATCTATTTGATAAAAGCATTGAATCCATGAAGTGACTTCATTCTGATATGAAGTGAGAAAAATAAGACTACAATGGATGGCTCCCTACTCAACACCACCCCACAGTGACAATCTTTATTGTAAATCTGGCTTTCAACCCCAGAGGTTATTTTCCTCCTCTGATAAGTTTCTTTTAAAAAATCAATTTATAGTTTTCTGAAGTTGATTTGCTTTCCAAAACCTTTTTTAAAGAAATAGTGGAGGTTACACAAGATGAATGTTCAGCTGTTTGATTGACATCAGTTTTATACACAGTGGGAACTTGGTTTCGTTAGCTGTTCATTTCCCTTGCTCTGGGCTCAAGTGAACAATTTAAAAAGTTAGATATGTTCTGTGCCTAGGCCATTCCAAGATGGTAAGTGGTCAATTTGATACTCACAAAAATAAGTTTCAGACTATTGTTTGTTTTGTGTTGTAAATACACATCATGTTGGAAATCAGCTAATATATAACTTCTATATTGGCAGAGGCACAATTTCTAGATCTTTCCTTTCTCTATTGCATATTCATTCTCACTGGGTCTTGGGAACAACTTTTCAATATATCATCTATAATCCCACAGTGTATCCCATTTGTCCTCTCTTATGTCTCAGCCATGATCGTATCCTCATTCAGTAGCTGGATGCCTTTGTGCAGGTCTATCAGCCTAACTGTGTCCAGTTTTTCTTATCAGTGACTGTCTCTTACCTTAAGACAATTAAGTCTTGGAATTGGTAAAGGCTCTCAAATTGTGTCTAGTAACTAGTCTGTGTATGTCAAACAAACCAAGTGGAAGGAAGGCAGATATTTCTGTTTTGGAGTTCCTCTGAAATTTCCTTTGATTCAGAAAAAAAATAATTGATATATCGACTTATATTGGCTAAGACTTTTAACAAGAAAATTTAAAACCAAAGCTGAGCTGAAATGCAGATTTATTTAGCCAAAAACTATTTTGCTGTTACCTCATTAGTATTATAGAAGGTCATGAATTTCTGAGAGCCAGCAGGTATGCTTCTCTGCAGAGCTTGGAGTCTAAGTTAGGGCTTCAAAATGTCAGTGCATTCTCAAATTTTTCTCTCTCGCCCTTTTTAAATTATTAATAAATACATGAAGGGTGTCTGTCAGGAACTTTCTGCAAAATGCTTTCAGTTGATTCTTTTTTGCAAGGCGTACGAATAAACACAAATGTCTGGGGGTTAAAAAAGAAGCAACAGCTTGGCCCACTGACCAGGGGGAAGGGACCAGTCTAGATACTGGGAGGCACCTCCACTGGCGGAAAATATAGTCTATTTCCTCCCGAATTTAAAAGGCATAACATAGAGCTCTTCAAAATCCTTGTCACTTGGTTGTGGCTGAGTGAATTAATCCCGCTGGCAGGATTACAAGTGCCATAACTGCTAAATAGCCCTGTTTATGTGCTGAAGTGTTCATTCTTCCACAGAGAAATCACAGGTGCACCACTCATGGGCCCCTCTTCATCTGGGGTTGGGGATTGGGGTTAATAAGAGGCTGGGACCTTGAGATTCTCTAGAAGGTGCTTTCCCTAGGCGGTGACCTAGCATCTTCGGGAAGACAGTGGTTTCTGCAGGGCTTTCTGACCTTCCTCTTCTTGCTCTTCCTCTGTCCCAGGAACAGCATTGCTGCATCGGCCGTGTGTGTCTTCAACCTGAGCGCCATCTCGCAGGCCTTCAACGGGCCCTTCAAGTACCAGGAGAACTCACGCTCCGCCTGGCTGCCGTATCCCAATCCCAACCCCAACTTCCAGGTAATTTCAGGGGGCAATGGGGTACTCAATCAGTTATCACCCTTAAAAGCAAGCCCAAACCTTGTACAGATGGCTGGGATGATTTCAACCCCTGATGGATACAGGCATCTGGGAGCTCCCCTCGCTCCTCTTGGGCACTGGGCTTGGCTCATGTGAATGGACTGAGCCTTTTATCAACTGAGCCTTTTGTCAATATGAGGAGCCTGGACCAAAAAGGGGCTTTTGTGGGCTGTGATGACTCAGGCTGGACTGTAAAAGGGCATCATAATGCAGCAGTTGGGAGACCAAGCCCCAATTAGTGCTAATGATGGTGGACTCGGCCCCGAAGCTCTGATCCCTAATGAGTGGTGCCCCTGTGAATGGGCTCCAGGGCACAGCCGTGGATGTGCACACACAAAAATGGAGCTCTAATTGCTGAATGTGGTGAGATTTCCTTTTTGGGTAAATGGGATGGCATGGGGCAGCTGCAGAGAAAGGGTGGTTATATATCCTCTTCACCTTTTTTTTTTTTTTTTGGCTTTACTTATATATTTACTTTGCAAGTTTCATATCATACTTTCATTAATAAAATAAGGAAAGAGTGATACAACTATCCAGGGATACATATTTTAATAGTAAATTTTTATAATATCAATTTATTTGCATTGCTTACTGCATAATTTACATGATGAAGATGACTCTTAGGAACCATTTATTGGGTGCCTTCTCAGTGTCACATGTTGCAAATGCTTTATAAGCTTTGTCTTATTTTCTCCTCTGAGCAACTCTGTAAGGTGGGCATCTATATCCACACTTTACACATCAGGAAACTGAGGGATCAGATTTACATTATTTATCCTAAGCTTGCTAATGAGAAAGTTCAGTGCTGGACAGAAAAAGTTCTATTTTGGGTCAGATGAGCTAACAAGGGGAACCAAACCTGCAGTAGTCACTTTCCTGATGACACACATGGTTTATATAATTACTAACTCAACACTGACTCTTGGCTTCTTGGCTGAGTCTCTGTATGTAAATCACACCCATGCCCAGATGAAATGTAACTGTTTAAGAAGATCCTTGTTAAAATCCAGAGGTGAAACAAACCATTCCCTTTAGAAGAGACCATTGAAAAATCCTGAAGGTTAAAATGTTTAACAAAGATGCTCACTATATGTACAATGTACTTTTAATTCCTGATGCTAGTATTGCAAAAGAAAGAACTTAATAAACTCTGTGAAGCCTTACTGCCTCCAGGAAGGGGGTAACTTTTAGCTCCTTTATGTGGAAATATTGGTAGCCCACGGAAAGTCTGCTCCCTTCCTGAGACCACGGCATGTGGTTTTATAAAGCCAGTGCCACACTGAAGGGCTTACATTGATGAGATGGGAGTAGGTCCAATCTGCAATTTAATTAATGAAACTGTGGACAGGTGGCTTTCACTTCAGGCAGGAAGCTAGCTCAGCTGAGTTGTTCTTTGGGTGGAATTTAAGATTTGTGGGAAAGTAAAGTTAACAGATTATGGTGGTTCTTCGTATATCTCCTAGGACAGATATGTTCCAAGTGTTTTCTTTTGGTTTACCTTGTTTGAAGCCATGCTAGCGTAGGCTTTCTTTCTGACATTTCCGGGACTCTCTATGCTGGCATAAAGTGGAATAGGTTTTGAACTAATGCTCCCTCTACTAGTCAAGTCTAAAGGGCTTTATGTTTGCAATAACCAACAGTGAGAAATGGTTAGTTTTTTTTTATTTATGTTTTTATTCTTGTTTGCCTACCAACATTTGGAATTTTATGCGGTGCTTACATACTAGAAGTAGCTATTAATTAGAGAAGCAGAGACATGTTTCAAATTCAGGAAGAAGTATGGGTTAGGAGAACAGTGCATAATCCTTCAAGATTTGATTCAGAAATCTTTCAATGGAAAAGGATAAAGAAGCAACAGCTATTTATCAATTGCACCAGAAACCACTGTAGGTGGTGCTGCAAAACCCTGCCCTGTGTGAGGCTGCAGTCCCCAGTCATCCAGACCCACTTCCTTACAGAGAACATCATCCAGACCTAGTGGTACCCGGCTGTGGTGTACAGGCTGGACTTTTCTGGGCAGTTTTGATTAGCAACTATCAGAAATGATGGAGCTGAAATGGATAGTACACCTGCAGATGAGGACTGAAAGTTCCAACTCTCTAATCACAGGGTTGTTTCCTTTGGCAATCAGCCCACATCCTTAGATGCTATCTAAAAATCACCTCATTAACATACCAAAAGACGCCTGGGATTTTAGGAGCTCCCTGTCAGAAACAGGAAGAAGAACAAATGTATTATTCCTTTTTTCCCCTCAAATAGATTTTATTGATTTTTTACAGAGAGGAAGGGAGAGGGATAGTTAGAAACATTGATGAGAGAGAAACATTGATCAGCTGCCTCCTGAACACCCCCTACTGGGGATGTGCCACCAACAAGGTACATGTCCTTGACTGGAATCAAACCTGGGACCTTTCAATCTGCAGGCCGACCCTCTATCCACTGAGCCAAACCAATTAGGGCCCAAATGTATTATTCTTATTAGCTATCACAATATCACAAGGTGATGACTTAAGATACGGGGTCCAGGAATAACAACAAGGGGTGGTTGGTGATCCCTCTACACAGTGCCAGCCCAGACACCTTCAGGTCTCTCAGATCTCCTGATTCCTCATGAGCAGTGAGAGCTCCTCGAGTTAGGATTTTTATGATACCAACCTTTAGAAAACACTGTACACACAAAACATAACCTGCATGCAAAACCTCACCCAACAGGCAGGTAGCTAACAACGACCTTTATCTCAAGTACCGCCATTGATTTAAGGAAGATTAACACCAAACATGAAGTCACTCTCAGGACTAGAACTCCCTGGATAGACTTCTGGCCACATCAGGTAGAGCTGTCTTTCATTTTGCAGTACATTAATTAACAGGTAATGACCCTGTCCTTCAAGTGTTACTACTACATGGGATGTTTATGTGAAATCTCCTAAAAGAGTCCCCCTGGCTGAAAAGCAGCTGCTAGCCTATTCACCCATTGATTCCTTCCTTCCTTTATTTATTCATTCATTTCCCTCTGGCCAGTACAGCTCAACAGACCGTAGAACTGCTGTTCTGCTACAAGACAAATGCATTGACCAGTTACTGTGCCAGGCAGACCGTCTCCTGCCTTGGCATTTACAAGCACTTACAGTTAATTTACTAATGCTTTCCACTGGTTATCTCAGTCGGTCTCACAGAACCTGTAAAGTGAGCAGTGTTTTCCTAGCAACTTTATAGTCAGATGCAGAGGTTGGGAAGCAATGTATCACCTGAGACCACATGGCTCCAGCGGGGTGGCCAAGCTGAGTCCTTCCACTGATCGCATGTGGTCCTGTTGCCCTGCAGGTGAGGTGCGCCTGTAAGGATGTGCCTTTAAGTAAAGTGTTGGTAGTAAGGAAAGACTCAAAATCTGTTTCATTCCAAGATTCTCTAATTCTGCAATGAGCCTATTGCTTTATGGCAAGTAGGACATTTTTATCAAGAGTGACATAAATACCTGTTTTTTTAAAAGCCATTTCCATCTTACCTGTTAATAAACCAGGTATTAGAAATGGCAGGTTATAAAGGGTAGTTTCAGATGGTATGGATGGGGAAGTTTATTTTTATCAATCCATCTTATATGAAGTTCTGGCAAGGATCAGTTTTATTGGAACTAGGATTTGAAGTTTATGAAAGGCATGAGAAAGGTTGGTGGTAATTTTCTAATTCTGTGCTATGTTCCAGGAAAGTTTTGCTTTCTTTTCTATTCCTTTCTCATCTCATCCTTGCTAAAGAATATCCTACGTAATACCTGTCAGCCTCTGCAAAACCCAGCGCTGAATTTAATTTTCAGCAATTTCTAGGCCACTCCTTCCCCCGTCCCCAACACACCCATATATTCTAGATTCATTATTATATTTTCTCTATCTGAAAACCTCTTTCCTTACTTCCTCCTTCTTTCTCATTTTTCTCTCTCCCCACCACCCTCCCTCCTTCCCCTTTAAAGAAAATCTCTTTATTTCCTGCCTTTTGTAAATTTGCCATGTTATTTCTCATCTTACTAGACTCCAAACAATTTTTTTGTTTCAAAAAGCTCGGGACATTTTTGAGTGAAAGCAATGAAGCCAGCACAGTGTCTTGTTGCCCAGGAGAAAGATATTAAAATGGCCTAATTCTATCTCTGTGGAACCCATATCTTGCTTATGGACCCACTGCTCCAATAAGAAAACTAATAAATCTGTGTGCTATATTTGATTGCTGCATTTTCAATTTGGGTACCTGATTGTCAGGCAGATATAAGAGCATGTGTTTAGTCAGACAGCTCCCATGTGACTCAGTCGGCAACATGGTGTTCTGTATACACTGCTCAAATTAAAGTTAGCAATGACTTCCACTTCGTTTATTCTTTTCAACTTCTTTTCATCCATTTATGATGAAGTGGAGAGACTCCTCAAATATAAATTCAAATCTAAAATGAGAGACACTAGGGTGGGGATTTCGGGGACAGTGGAGACGCAGGCATGTTTGCACAGTTCAGTTATTCAGTGTCTGAGTCAGTCTTCAGCCGGGTGGCCAGGGTCCCTGGGTTCCAGGTGGCTGGCTCCAGCAATGAAGTTGTCTCTTGCAGTGTGGCACGGTGGACCAGGGAATGTACATGAGTCTGACAGAAAGGAACCTGCAGGACGCTCAGAAGTTCATCCTGATGCAGGAGGTAGTGCAGCCCGTGACTTCAGTGCCAGCCTTCATGGAGGACAACAGCCGCTTCTCCCATATCGCTGTCGACCTGGTCCAGGGCAGGGATGCCCTCATCCACACCATCTACTTGGCCACAGGTAAGTGCTCTCTCTTATCCTCCTCCCTCACCCTCTGTGCGTCCACTGAGAAATCTTAATTTATCTCTTTCTTTCTTTCTTTTTTTACTACATTAGTCATCATTTTAATAGGAGAAATCGTGTCTGATTTCTTAACTATTGTTCTTTTGCTTAAAAGAAGCCTTCTTGGGGCAGGTGTAATTGGGATAACTTGAGATGATGGAATTTTTAAAAATATATTTTTATTGATTTTTTACAAAGAGGAAGGGAGAGGGATAGAGAATCAGAAACATCGATGAGATAAAAGCATCAATCAGTGCCTCCTGCACACCCCCCACTGGGGATGTGCCCACAACCAAGGTACATGCCCTTGACTGGAATGGAACCTGGGACCCTTCAGTCCCAAGGCCGACGCTCTATCCATTGAGCCAAACCGGCGAGGGCAAAATGATGGAATTTTTTAGAGGACATTACTGAGTGAAATATTATCCTAGAAGCTTCCATCCTCATGGGGACAGCCAATAAGAAACCCACTACTAAGGAAAACATGAAAGAGGTGATGACAAGTTTAGGCAGTGTGTGTGGATACAGCCATGTGGTAGAGAGAGCTAGGGGGGCTCCTGCAGTAGCCATCGGGGTTGGCTTTTCCCAGGAGGTGACATTTAAACTGAGAGCTGACTGAGGAGGAGGAGCTGGCCTTGCAGGTGGCCAGATGCAGAAGTGGTCAGCTATGGGCAGGGATGTGGCCAGCAGATCACTAGAGGAGGCCACTGGTGCCTCAGGTCATTCTGGAGGAGGGAGGAGTGCTGAGGAGGAAAGGGAAAGAGGATGGAGGAAGTTAGATGGAAACAGCTGTTCTGACTGAGGCCTCCAGAAGCTGTTCAGTGAAGGTTGATAGAGGATTGATCTGGTAGCCTGAGATTTTAAGACTTCGTTGTTTTAAGAGAAAATATAGGGTTACCACCCCATGACAGTGTCTGCCTTGTTCAGTAGAGTGTGTAAAGGAAACATACCTCTTTTTCTGCCATTTTCATCCTTATTTGCTCTCCAGATGCTTGGCACATGCTAGATTGTAGAATTAATGAACTGGACATTTCCAAAAGCTTTCCTAGTTTTTCTTTACAACTGTTATCATTGATGCCACAGAGAAGAGTTTATTATCTATATTTGGGAACCCAGGCTTGGCTATAAGTTTATTTTCTCCCATCTTGATTTTACATGAATAAATACAAATTGGAGAAAACCTATCCATGGCCATCTAAACGTTGAGTTATTGTAATTGTCGGTATTATCTAAATGTCAACATGAAGTAGACCTCTGCTAGTAATGCTGTTCCTGGTGCTTCCTGCAGCTCCAACAGGTTTCCCTGCTGGCCTCCACCCCACTGGGTCTCACAGCCTTTCTCAGGCACGTTCTGGGTCTGTTATCTTGCTGCTTCCATCTCTCTCATGTGGGACATCCAGCCAGGGCTAAGCACATTGTCTGGGCCATTATCCATGCTGATATTTTTATGTTATTTCTTTGAAGGTCTTCTCAGATCCAGAGGCAAAATGGCAAATGCTCCTTTAGAATATTTATGACTGGAGTTCTCTAAGTGACTGACTCATATCCAAAAGGCTGCTCGGTTCCTCTCCACAAAGACAAAATCTCAGTGGTGTTGACTATGCATGTGTCTGGGCATCTCGATGCTTGCTTTTCAGAGCACTGCTCTGTGCTATTCCTTTGCTGGCTCTCTGTCTACCTCTCCCATGGTCCTGTTGCTCTGGCTCTGCCCATTGCTAAGCTTGTGCTAATTCTGCGTTGCCTCCCTAGAAATAGCACTAGTCTTAAGGGTTACTCCTAGAATGAAATATATTACTTGTATTTTCATTTTGCCTCGATTCCAGTGTGTCTATAATTAAACATGTATCTTATTTTACACCATCTTGATGCTTTCCCAATATTCTCTCACTCTTATTCAGGCACCTCACCCGGTAGATCTGAGCCTTCTGTCCCCTGGGCTAACCACTTACTTTATTTTTCTATAACTATTTATCCCCTTAATCCAAACCCTTATTATTTCTGGAGTGCTCTTTTAAACCAGTGTTTGTTCAACTTGAGAATGAGAATGGAGGGCATGTAGAAATACTGGTCCCGAGCCCAAGCCCAAGGAGATTCTGGTTCTGTGCAGAGTTGCTGGTTCTAAGAGGCTCCTAGGTGAACCTCACACTGGGCATTTCTGGACCGTATCCTGGTAGTGCTGATCTGGATGAAATAATGCTATTCTTGACCTAGAATCTCTTTCTACCGGATGCACCTTGCTGCTCTCTGTGGTTAGATGTGGTTAGATGCTGACATCATTGGGATGCAGATACCAAATCTGTTACTGGGTATGAGCCTAACAGACATGTTTACTCTTTATTTCAGTTGTTGCAAATGTGAATTGCTAATGAGTTGGCAAAAGAGCTGTGACATGATTTAAAAGCAAATGCTTTAAGATTCAGCAATGGCCGAAACCGGTTTGGCTCAGTGGTAGAGCGTCGGTCTGCGGACTGAAAGGTCCCTGGTTCGATTCCAGTCAAGGGCATGTACCTTGGTTGCGGGCACATCCCCGGTAGGGGTGTGCAAGAGGTAACTGGTCGATGTTTCTCTCTCATCGACATTTCTAGCTCTCTATCTCTCTCCCTTCCTCTCTGTAAAAAATCAATAAAATATATTTTAAAAAAAGATTCAGCAATGATGAAATACTCAATGATTTAAATATATCAAGTTAAATAAGTGGTCATATATTTTCTGTAATAGATATTGGTGGTCTGGGCAGGAACAGGCAAAGGTTTCAGGAACGATTTCCCTGAAATAAAGGAAAGAAGTGAGCCTGCAGATTTAAAGCACACCACGTTTGAACAATATTGATTCAGAATAAATGAGTACTAGATGTACCCAGGTTAAGTTTTTAAATTCTAAGGGTAAAGAGAATTATTCAGGAGGCAAGGCATTATTTAGGCATTCAGAAGAAAAAAATATCATCAAATGGAAAAACGTTAGATGGTCCTTGAATACTATCCAGCTACATAAATCTGTGAAACATAGTCTAAAATATAATGAGGAAAATAATGTGAATTAAGAGTGTTATACTCAACAAAGAATAAAGAGAACAGGCAGATATTCCTCACTATGAAAACCTCAGACAGTAGAAGTCCAGGGATCTCTCTTATTAACACAAAACAGGATTTATCACTAGCTCGATTCAGCCAAACAAAGGGAGAAGCTTTAAGAAAGGGCAGGGGAAGTAGAGTACTCATTACCAGATTTCATGTAAAGCAATATTTGTATGTGAATTGGAGGAAGAGAATGTCTATAGGAAAGACTAATCTTTCCCTACAAAAAATAAAGGCATATGGGAAATTTAGGAAAAAGCAATTATGATTCAAATTTGAAAAACAGAAACATTTTATTTCTAGCCAAAGAAGAAAATCAGAACCAATCTGAAAGAAAAAAGAAAAAAAAAAGTCATGGAAAAAGGAAGGGTGGGGAGCTGATAAGTCATTTTCATTTCAGATAAAGAAACATTAAAGTGCCCTAGCAGGTTTGGCTCAGTGGATTGAGCGTTGGCCCTGTACTGAAGGGTCCCAAGTTTGATTCTGGTCAAGGGCACATACCTGGGTTGCAGGCTTGATCCTCAGTAAGGGGCATGCAGAGGCAGCCAATCAATGATTTTCTTTTATTATTGATGTTTCTATCTCTCCCTTTCCTTTCCTCTCTGAAATCAATAAAAATATATTTTTTAAAAAAGGAACATTAAGGTGTCTATAGAACATGATGGTAGGTAGGGGCTGGGAGAGTTGGTGAAGCACAATAGGTTCAGAATTATGGAGAAGATCTCTGAATTGAACATGGCTTAAGCATCTCCTCAGACTTTATTGACCTTATGTTATCTTGGACACTCAGCCATTTGCTCTGTCCCATCTGCCACCATGGCTGATAGATTCCTCAGCAGGACTGCGAGGTTATTCCAACTGATGTTAACTAGCTGGTGGCCAGTCCCCTTATGCCACTCTAGACTTGGGTAAGGAAGCATCCCACTATGGTATGGATCTGGCTTCTCAAGCAGATGCTAAAGGGCCTGGGAGATGCAACCAGCAATACAGGGGGATGCATTCCCTGTGAGGTGATCTTCAACCAATGAGAGGCAGAGTATGGAAAGACACTGACTAATATGTATGCTTTCCCTTTTCCTCCCCATGGGCTGTTCAAGGCAGCTTTCAGGTAACCAAGCAAATATTCGTTTGTGTCTCAGCAGAAAGGAGTGGCCCCATGGTAACACCTCCCATGACATCACTTCCCATCTTTCCTCCTCACTTTCCTCCTCACTCATATAACCCTGAGGTTGTACCCTGAAATATGCATTAGCTCAACCCTTGCCCTCCTCATCTCTCATCCCCGCTTTCTAGGCAATCACAGTAAGGGATAATTGACTCAAGCTGCAGAATGGCATGGCTACAGAGCATGGCTGGGGCAGATGGTAAATACTCTATAGTCCATGTGGAGAAACACAGATTTTAACCAAGTAAAATAAGAAAACTGAAAAGTTTGTAAATCATGTAAGTAACATAACACAGCAAATGTTTTTAAAGATTATTATCCATTATTCCTGGAGAATGAATTGGAGGGTAGCACAAGGGTAGAAACAGGAAAAATTTGGGTAAAACTTCTTTTTACAGCATCAAGTGTGATTTTGCTGCAAGATTTGCCAATTATAAAAATAAATAGACATTGTAGTGACATGTCATTACATTGTAATTATAGTCTAGTCAGTCTGTGGCCAAGGCTATTTCAGTCATCAATGAAGTCCAGGAGATGTGTGTGGCCAGCATGGCAGGCACACAGGAAGTGGTGTAGAATAAGGCATGCTTGCTCAAATAGGTGATACTGCCTCCAGGAAGCAAAAATTAGTTCTTGAGGGACAAATCGTCCTATTTTTGTGTATGGATAATAGATATATAAGCACCTCACAGACAAATATACATCCCTAGTATTAAAAT